GTTAACGGTAAAATAATTTCAAATAAAATTTTAATAGAGTTCAACATAAATGTTTGGTAAAAGCTAAAAACTGCCAGAACAATCGAAACGGATCGGAATGATTTTTTTTTCCCGTTTCGTTTGTACAAAATGAAATTAGAATAATATATTAGGTATATATATATAGGTACGTCATATAGCAGTTATTTATTGTTTTTGTTTTTTTTTTTATAACATTTTACCATTTTTTTTTTTAGTCTATAAATAAAACGAACGTACCTATATTGACAACTTTTAAATTTACGACAAGAAAATACCTATTTTTTTTTTTTTATACATATTATATTATTTTATTCCGATTTAATATTCTGATCGTTAAATTTGAACGAAAATTTATTAAATCTTACGTATTTCACCTGTCGCGAGGTTTTTTTTTTTTTGTTATTATTTTATGTCATCGTTCCCGTCATTGATGGGCCACTTTAAATTTTAAACATTTATCATCGAACTATTCGATTAAAAAAAGAAAAGGGGGGAAAAAAAAGTCGTTATATAAGCCAGGTGCGACGATAATGGGTTTTTTGTTAAAAACAATTTATAGCGGGTCGGTTTTATGGCGAATATATTATTATTATATTATTTTAAAGTTTTATCAAATTATTATCGCTATTTTTATTATTTTTTTTTTTTTCTAATCGATTAAGTTTTACATTTCGCGCAGTACCAATTTCGATTGATTTTTTTTTTTAATAATAATTTCGCCCGAGAAAACCATAAAATATTATTTGTAATGAACATTTCGTATTTATTTATTTTTTTTTTAATAATGAATAAAATACTTACGACTTTTTTTTAATTCTGCGACTCAACATGTAAATGCAATATAAATTAATGAGTTTTTAAAATATATGTATAAAGTTCATTGTATAAATGTAGGTTAGATATTGGATGTTAGAAACAGTTTTTTTTATTAAAATAACATTTTTATACTCTGAGCGAAACGATACGGTAATGCATACTTTGGTTTTTTTTCATTATTATTATTTTTTTTTCAAACTGTTATAAATCTTATCGGCAACCGGCTAGAAATCTTGATCCAATAAAAAAAAAAGAAAAAAAAGAAGCATTACGTTGTAACTGATATTTTGAATAATCTGTTTAATTTCAAATTTTTGATCAAATCCGTTCAAATCACAAACAATATTCTAGATAGTTGTATGTGAGTACAAATAAATGCAACTTTCAATTTTAAACCGGTCAACCGAACTTTGTTAGCTTCGCTCAAAATCGTTTTTTATTTGCAACGGTTTATGGCATGTAAACTAATTTACCTACGTATCGTACATTCGCAACTTCGCAACCTATAACGGTAGCCTACCTAATAAGGTCGAAGATCTTTTTCCCTCACTTTTTCACATGTTTTTTTTTTCCTACGATTTATTTTGTTTTTTCCGAGTGGTTTCGGTAAGTAGTACACTAGTTGGGTCCCGATGAATTTTGAGTAGTATACTATACTTGAATCCTGGCTTTTGGCAGGTCGTGTAATAGTTGGGTCCAAACGTTAACAAGCAATAAAAACGATTTTCCTTTTCATTTTTACAGCCTTTAGGGTGTCAAATGATTTGTAGTTTAAAACGAAACACCGGTACGATTAAACAATTTTTGATTCCGGATGAATTAGCGACTTTGGAAAACATACAAAATGTGACCTTCGGTTTTTCAATGTAGACTAATTTAATAAAATATAAAAAAAAAATTTAAAAAATGTTTTATTCGATTTCATTCAATACTAATGTACATAATGTATTTAGATAAAAATGTATAAGAGATTACAAGAGATTTATGTTGTCGATGTTTTTTCAGTCGTTTTCCCCTTTTATTGTTCTTTTTGTAAAATGCATTTCCGTCGTTTTTTTCCGTACTTCTCGGTGTCTACTCGGGTGCTTTTCAAAACTTCTATTCCGCTCACTATTACCTCGAGACCCAACTAGTGTGCAACCTGTGGGTATCCGGGACCCAGCTAGTATAGTACACGCATTGCCCCGGTACTCAACTGGTGTAGAGTTTCGAACGCAGGACCGAACTCGGGTTTGCGACCGGGCCGCGTTGTCGAAACCTCGTCATACCGGATTCCCGTCGTTTTCCGGACAACTGTTTATCGATTGTCGCCGACAGTGTACGATATCGCGGGCCCACAGGCGCGACTGCGGGGACCGGTAAAGAGACCCTCCGGCACACCCGATTTTAAAATAAGCGCCTCTGAAAATGCCCAATGTGCTGTTCTATAGCGCAGACTGATCCGCGTATCCCGTCACCAACGAGCACGGCGAAATACGAATTACCCGCCGGCAACGCGCGCGTCAACCCAAAGTCGAACCGGTCACGGCACGTTTTCACGTGACAATCGCAAAACACGAACGCGCGGTCGTTCGTCACGAGAACCGGGCAAAGGGAACGGGCGGGAGTGTCGCCGCGACGGGCCTGCGATTTCAGCGGCCCCCGGGGTCGGCGGTCCGGTCGCGGCCGCGAGCTCGCGACGTTCGACGTGCCGAACCGAATACCGTGTCCCCGCGAATCGGCCCGTCGCGCGGAGATTCGCCGGGCGCGGCGTCGGCCCCGGTGCGCCCCGGGCGTCTCGACGCCGCGCCCGTCGCCGAACGGCCGTCACCGGCCAACGGGCGGCGCGAACGGCGAAATTGACCGCCGTTCCGTTTTCGCACGGCAACGTCCGCGAGCGGGTAAACAAACGGCCTTACGGTACGCGGACGTCGACCGCGCGCGCGATTACCGGACGGTCTCGGACGCCAACGGTCCGGCACAATGTAAAAATAGTCCGCCGACCCGACCGCGCGCGGGGCAAACGGATTCCGGTCTCGGCGGTATTTTTCGAATTGAACGAAATAGTCGAAAATTGTCGCGGGCTTTTTCGATATCACATATTATCGTGTTATTGTTGTTGTTGTTATTGTCTTGGGCGGTGTAGTAGTAGTAGTCGTCGCCGGTCGCAGTTAAACGGCAGCCGCCGCCGCACAATCGAAGTCTGGAATTAAAATTTATCGCGTGTCTACTCCCGGGTCCTTCGGACCGCCGCCGGTCGATTTACATAGCGGTTAGCCCAATATTATTCTTATACCATTCAACGGTCTGCGGCGGTTATTTTTTTTCGTTTTTTTTTTATCGTCGTTATATCGTAACATACGAAACGTCAACACGAGTAGTCGTGTCGCCTCGCGTTTTGCGGGTTCGCGTGCGCGCGTTCGCTTCTGCTGCTGCTGCTGCTGCTCGAGCTTACGTGTCCTCCGACATTAGCACACAATGGTCTCGCGGAATTATTATTTATTTTTTTTCTTCTGTACGTTCCTCAACACCGATACGAATATTTTATTCCGGTATTTTATCGCGCGCGCGCCAATATAAATATCATTACAATAATATTACACTATAGCCGTTTGCGGTGCGGCAGGTGTCGTCGGACACGGCCACCGCACGCAATCGCGCGCGCGCGCGGATCGTGAGCTATAGACAAAAGGGTTTTAGCATCGCGCGGAGGCGCACCGCACCGCTCGTTATAACGAACACAATACGCGCGCACACACGCGCGCGCGCGCCTTGTACGGGTGTCGTCGCGTCTCGCACGCCGCGATCGCAATACGCGGGTTCGCGCCGTGTGTCTGCGCGCATACGGACGGTCCGTATCGTCGTAACAATGTCCGCCGCCGACGACGCCGCGACGTGCGGCGAACGCGAGCGCGCGCTGCTCCCGGCGTGCGCTCTGGGCCGTCCGCGCGACGTTTCGATACGAATCTCGGTACTCTCGTCGGCGGTCCGGCCGAAAACCCGGTCGGGAAATCGACGGGCGGGCGAACGCCGCGCGCCCGAAACGGATCGAGGAGGCCCCGGCAGCGGCCCCGGACCGGGGCGCCGTCGGACGGGCGAGGGTCTCTGTTCGGATAAACGCCCCCCCCCCGCCCCCGATCATCTCCCGAGTTATGTTTGTTTTTTTTCGCTCGTCGGCTCGGCTTTCAAGACCTCAACGCGCAACGTTCTGCCACGAGCATCTAGAAGCTCTGGGCGCACCACCGCGGAAAACGCCGCGCCGTAACGCCTACGCGGACCGCAGTGCGACGTTGCCGCATAGGTACGCGTAAGGTTTCGCGCCGATCGGATATCGGCGTGGCATTCGTTTAGGGAGGGGGAGGGGGGCCCCGGAGGCTGTACCCTCTCCCGCGTCCGCTCAAACATACGATTGCGCGCGTTTCGTGCGGGTAACGATTTGAAGTTGTGTGTATATATACACGCAAATGCGTGTACAGGTGAACAGCGTGTAAGTATAGATCTCGGCCAAACCGATAGTCCGCCGTTTAGATTCTCTTTGTCGATTTGTGCGGCCGCGCAAGAATATTCTACGACGAATTCGTGACGATTATTCACCGCACCACGTCCTGTTAAAATATACCGAGCGCGCCGCCGACTGGTTAGATCGCTGTGTATAGCCCCGCGCGACCGATTATAACATGCGGATGTGTACAATAGCCGGGACAAAGGGTTGAAAACCAAGTTAGTTTTGACTTTTCTCTTGGTTTGACCGTCGGTTTTCCACTCGCTTAACTTATTAATCGCTAATATCTACTTAACCTCTCCCTCCCCTCCACCCCCTCGATTAATCTGAATTTAATATTTATTATCGTATAATTAGACTAATCTAGTGTTAAAATACACTTAGAGTTCTCTGGATTTGGCTCCTGTACGTCTCTGTGTTGCCGGGACAGCCAGAGGTTGCGCACGGACGACGGTTAAAGACTTAAAATTAATGCCATCGGTTCATTTTATCGTTGTTTTTTGTATTTTGAATTGTACCTATTACGTGCAATATGCCAATAAGTAATAAAATAGACGGCATAGACATATTATTTGTTTACACAATAATGTGTGTACATTTCGTTGGTTAAAAAAAAAAAGAAAAAAAAACACAAACTCTTTAAATGCGAAAATTTTCATTTTTACTTCAATACTATTATTAACAGCATTGTATAATTGTTTAATTTTCACGGTCACTTTGTAATAATACGTTTTACAAAACTTCCGAAAAAGATTAACATTAACTTAATTAATTAATAAAACGAATAATTTGTAACCGTCGTGAACTCATTGGATGTTTTTCTTCGATTAAATGCGGACCGCACCGAGGTGATATTATATCGCGTCCGTAAACTCGTCCGGCCTTGAAATTTTATCGGACCGATGAAACTATACAATATTATATACGTTCGGATAAAAATCCACGCGAAATGCCGTCGTATAATATACCGCGTACAATTTATATAGCCTTTAAGTGTGCGTTCAGACGATAACGGTTTTCGCGGGAGTTTTAGGCGATTTGTCGCCCGTGTATAATGTAATAACGGTTTTCGCGTTAAAAAAAAAAAAAAAAAAGAAATGATGCGCTCCGGTCGATTGATACTCCGAGTACACGGTTGTATACTCGGATAAAATTACTCGCACAAGCCGCGGTGGTCTTTTTAAGAGAAGCGCGTCTACCCACAATGTTCAATCGAAAACTTGTATTTGAACTGCGCGGCACTCGATAAACAACTAGAGCACATTATAATATACAGTCTCGTATGTATACACAATTCGAGTTGAGATACGATTGTTGAAAAAATATTGAAGTTTTGTAAAAAAACTAATAATATTATTCTGTTTGTTCATCAGCTTTGTGCTGTTTTTCATTTTTCGCCGCGTATTGGGACCGCGACGCGATATTGTCCAATATGTGTAATGAAAGTTTTCGGGACACGTCGAAAAAAATAAAAATACAACACAACAATATTATTATTATATGTATAGAAACAAAAAAAAAAAACCGAGTATATATATATTTATTATATTATATTGTGTGTTTCGAGGGTTGTCGAAGAAAATAAAAACTTCCTACACAGAAGCTTTAAGTATTATACTCGTGCGGTAAAGTGACGTATATATAGGTACGTATTTTTTATGTACACCCACGCCCGGTATTTTGGACACACGTTGTCTTGGTGATAATGCAAATCGTATAATCGAGTAAATTATAGAATACAATATGTGTAAAACATTGGCCTTTTTTTTTCTCTCTTTTTCGTTTTTCACCCGAATCCACGGCTAAAACGGCTAAAAACTTTGTCGCGGTCGCTTTTGTAACGAACTATTGTCACCCCCGAAGGAATACTTGCGAATTGTATACGGAAACAATTTGAAAAATAAATTTAATATCGTAGACCCGGGGTTTCGGAGCGTTTTAACCGTCCAATAATGAAATTTGTATAACTAATATATGCTGTGGAGACTGAACGATTTATTTATGTAATTCGTATTCTTTTTTTTAATACAAACGAAAATAAACAGTTCCTATTGACTTTGGATTAAGAGATTGGATAAGAGATAACTTTTATTTTATTTTTCCAGTTGTTATTGTGTCCTTATTATGATAAAGTTTTAATTTATTAATTGTTATTATACGATATTTATAAAAAAAAAAAAAAAAAAAAAAAAAAACTTTTTTAA